TTAATAATTGCATAGAATCTATGGAAGGATAGAATTCAATAGCATTCTATCCAAGGATCTCAAAGCTTGCATCAAAGAATTTAACAAAGACATTAGTCTCTGATGATAGAAGTAAGACTATCACATCTCTAAGGTATATTATCAACCCAATTTTTATTCCAGTGTTTTTAGGGAGCATTTAAAAGTGAACTCCTTTTGGGAACTACAGAAGGTAGATGATGTTTCCTCCTCACACATGGACTCTCAAATACCATGCCGTCTGGAGCCAAGACAGGAACTGGATGCTCCACACTGCTCTGTTTATGGAGTTTTCCCTGACATTAGGGGACATATTCCTCCTGCGATTCTTTCAGCAAGGAGGCTTAAAACAGTTTTAACTTGATAGTATTCTGCTCTCCCATCATGATATTTCTGTTCTGTAGATCAGCCAGGAAGAGCTCCAAAGGGCCTAAATGGACTACTCACATGAGTATGGTTTTCTGGACTGGGCCGAAAGAAAGGAAATAATAGCACTTATACGTGACTATAACACCTTTTTATAACTGATCTGAATTAAGATAAAATAAAACATTTCTCTCTCAAATTCTTCCAATATTAATAATGTTCTACTGCAGGGGTAGGCAACCTATGGCACTGATTTTCAGTGGCACTCACCCTGCCCAAGTCCTGGCCACTGGTCCAGGGGGCTCTGCATTTTAATTTAATTTTAAAAGAAGCTTCTTAAACATTTTAAAAACCTTATTTACTTTACATACAACAATAGTTTAATTATATATTATAGACTTATAGAAAGAGACCTTCTAAAAACGTTAAAATGTATTACCGGCACGCGAAACCGTAAATTAGAGTGAATAAACGAAGACTCGGCACACCACTTCTGAAAGGTTGCGGACCCCTGTTCTACTGCATTAATTTTGAATGGCTCCACTGATTTTTTTTAATTGCCATATTAGTTGAAGTTGCTCCATCTAGTGGAGCTTTACCATATTGCAATGCACATGCAGGCCATGGTTAAATCTATTTTTCTGTAAAATAAATATATTTTTTTAAAATGATCAATTTACATAAACAGCATTTTAACATAATGCATCAATGTTTTAAAACTTTAGAAGCCCAAATGTTTTTGAATTAACTATTTTTGTCAAATTCAAAACATAATCTATGCCAACTTCACCGCTTTGTACTGATGTGTTCTGGAAACTTTTAGAAAAGCAAGAGAAAAATAGAAAGTTGTGTTATTTGGACCATTCCATTTTTGTTCTAAAAGTAAATCTCTGATGTTAATTAAATCAGAAGCATTTCTTAACTTAAATAATGAACATCAATGATGGTTCTTGTCCATAATAAAAAAAAATTGACTTGCGTATACAAACTGAATTACGGACAACCTGTATTGAAAGGGATTTAATACCCAGGTTGAAAGCAATTTAATACCTTCTTCTCATTAAAGTGATGATATAATTGTTGTCCAATCTACTAAACTGTTTCATGAAAGAATAGAAATAGGTAATAATTAGGATTTGATGTAGCAATTTTCCAGTTATCATGGTCAGTGATGTGTGAGCACTTGAAAATGTAAGTAGAGTAGAAATAATAGGAACGGAAAAGTTCTGCAGTAGAAACTACAGAATATTAACCAATTAAATATAAATCAGTTTGAATTATTTTAAAGCTCTAATAGCCATATGCATGACTCCACAACTGAATTCTGTTGTATGATTACACATCTTGCTATTTTAAATCTGTTATGTAAGTGGGACTCACTGCACATAAAGAATTGAATCAATGGAATAGCAATAAACAGTGCATCACTGATTAGCAGTGTGTGACATCAAGGAAAAAAATGGCATCAATCTTGACACTTAGTATGCCCACTGTTTGGCACACCCACTGTATAACTCAACACCCAAATTAAATTAAAAGAAAACAACAGCATCAGTAAGTTGCTGGTGAAATTGGGTGGGTTTTTTAGAGTAACGATATAAATATTGTAAAAAGCAATGCAGTTGGTAAAGAAACCACCTAAAGACCTTGGATGCTTTGAGGTGCATACCAGCAATCATAGCATCTCTCTTTTCTTTTTCTTCTGTATTATAAAGACTTTGGCAGTGAAGACACCTAAACAATGGCTCATTTCAAAGGCAATGATGTAATAAGTAATCTAATTCTTGTTCTTCTTCTGAACTTGCTCAGTGCTGGAGCAGAACTAGTGCTAGAATCAATGGTGTTGATTCTAATGAGTACCATCAACACTCACTGACTTAAGGTGCATTGAAGATTCTCATTTTCCTGTGTTTCCCTTCTTTCACCTTCAGTGATGATTGATGTTATGGAACTGTATTAATGTGACCATTGGTAATATCTCTGGATGAGGCTGTAGACATATTTACCTTCCAGTTGGAAGTCAATGGGAGTTGAGGGTGACCAGCATTTTATGATATAAGACCTGCTAGTAACCTCAGAGTGAGTGTCTTCAAGAACAAATATATTTATAGATTATGCCATTGGTATTATCAATTGTCATGCTGACTCAAAACCCTGAAAACCAAGCAGTACTGAATTTGAAAGTAATGAGAATACTCATTAGGGTGTATTGACGTACAAGTAAAGAACATGGACTATGACACTAGATTATTCATAACCATTAATGAAGGTACTTCCATTATGTACCTTGTGCAATGTGCTCTAACAATGTTCCCTTGCTGTTGTATTTGCAAAAGAACATTTGCAAGTCCTACAGAAGACTCCAATATAATAAAGTAAAACATATGCAGTATTTGGAGGCGTTACAGCAACTATTAGCCAAACCCAGCTGTACAGTTGATGGGTAACAAACAAACTTCAGTAAAATCAGCAAATAATTATCAACATAATTAAAGGCTCTTCTCCATATTTTTTCATATATGTAAGTGAAAGACAATGGGCCAGAAAAATGGCTCAATTTTCAGGCATTCTAAAAATACTACTAAGTAAGTACTTGGATATAATACTTAAGGATGAAAAGCATTGTATATTGTGGGTATTATGGAATCTCATTCAGTTAAAGTATTTTATTCATTCATTCATCATATCCAACAACAGAGATCAGGGACAGTCCGTCAAGATTTCTCATGTATCCCCATCAGCACAACAATCCAGCTGCAGAATAAGCACAGCCTAGTTTTATTTATGACTAACAGAAGAAGTGTGAGCAGTTGAAAACCACAGGCCTGGAAGTCTAGAAGTCTGGATTCTATTATTGATTCTCCCTTAAACTTTTTTTTTTAAATAAAATATTAAATATAAATTATGGAAAAGGGTAGTTTAGTAAATACAAGAAAAGGTATATTACTCTAATTAATTTATCTTAATGTAGAAAATATTTATAACTAGCTTTTTACATAAAGATATCGCCCTAACTTAATTCTGTGATGAGAAAAATGAAAATTATAGGGAAAACACAATGACACAAATAGGAATTAAGTTATGTATTAACCACTTTGAACACGTGGTTCCCAACTCTGAAGAGTCCTATGCCAAGAAAAGAGACAAAGAAAAACATAATGTTTAAAATGTTGTTAAAACTGTGGGAAGAAGATAGGATGGATCAAGAATTTATAATAGGCTTTAGTGTCGGCGCTAGACATAAGCAGACTAAGCAATTGCTTAGGGCCTCCAGTAACTCAAGGGGGCCCCGTATTCACTTTTTATTATTATTAAAGCTACAAGTCGGTCACAAAGGTCACGGATTCCATGATTTTACGTGACCTCCATGAGTTCAGCTTCAGACGGTGGGACTGGGGCTGTCAACCCTGGGCAGCGGGGCTTCGGCAGTCAGTGTTGTGTATAGGGGGCCCCCAAAATATTCCTGCTTCGGGCCCCTAATGGGCTAGCACTGCCTCTGATGGGCTTTTAGGCTTTTCACATCTAGGACAAATATAGTAGTAATCAGTACTTCCAACCATCAAAGTCAGGACCTATTAATATATTCACTGAAGACTGTCTTTGTGATGAAGAAGCAGAAGCTTTCTATATATTTCTTTAGGGGAGAAATCTCCCACTGAACAATAGCACTGCTGCAGTTCTGGCAACGGTACCATATGTGTGAGTGAAAGCCTAGAGGCATTTTTACCACAACATTGGCTTGGTGGGCACGGGCTTTTTTACCACCTTATCTAACCCTGCCTTGAAAAGATGATGGTCAAAACATCTGTGTCCTATCTATATGCCAGTGCTACCACTGCTGAAACTGCGCTGGTGGGAGATTTCCCAAAGACTAGTGTAAACATGGCCTGTAGTGTGCTTGTCGCTGCTAGAAGCAGCCTGACCCAGTTTCACTCATGGGAGCTATTGTTCTTTGGGCATAAGCTTTTGTGGGTAAAAAACCCACTTCTTCAGATGCATGGAGTCCATGCATCTGAAGAAGTGGGTTTTTTACCCACGAAAGCTTACGCCCAAATAAATCTGTTAGTCTTTTAAGGTGCCACCGGACTCCTTGTTGTTTTTGTGGATACAGACTAACACGGCTACCTCGATACTTGATTGTTCTTTGGGGGGATTTATGTTTAAAGTAGCATCTCTCTGCTGCTTGGGAGGAGGGATTTTGTGATCTGAGACAATTACACATTCCACCTTCCTTTTAACTCTCTCGCCCACTGTCAGTGAGCAGCCAGGGGCGAACCCACAACATCCCGAGGGCTAAACACTTATTCCCCTTGTACCTCACTGTTCCTGCCCCACAGATCCCCTTCACACCGTCCCTCCCTGCTCCCCCCCCCCTCCCCCCCCCCCCGCGGCCCCTCCCCCCCCCCCCCAGCGCACTATTCCGCCGGCCCATTTCCCCTCACTGCGGCAACACCCCCTCGCCGCTCTGGGCCTGTCCCTCTCTCTCCCCCGCCCCGCCCGCCCCTACGCGCACACACCGCCCCCCCCCCTCGGGGCGGGCTGAGCCGCCGCACGCGCCTCTCTGCGTCACGACGTCAGCGGCTGCGCTCGCGCGTCCCCTCGCGTCCCTGCTTCTAGGCCCGGGCTGAGGGGCCCTGGCCAACATGGTGTGGGGGAGTCGCGCGCTGCTCCGGAAGGTCAGCGCGCCGCGAGCCCCGTGGCGGCCGCGGGGAGGGGACAGTCCCCGGCCGGAGTCTGGGGCCGGAGCTCCCCGTGTGAGCGGGGCTGGGGATGGCGAAGAGGCGCAGCCTCTGGCGGGGGAAGGGGTCTGGGCCGACTGGCCACGCTCGCTCGCTGGGGGTCCCGCGCCTTGCTCCCCCTTGCCCCGCTCTTTAATAGCGCCCGGCCGGCTCCCGTCGTCCAGCCCAGGGCATGGTTTGCTGGGGAGCCCCCAGAGCCTGCGGCCGGGCTTCGGTGGGCTCAGCGTTGCATTTACAAATCCTCCCGGCGCTGGGGCTAGGAGAGCAGGGCTTGCTAGGCGGCCTTGGCAAGCCGCCGCCAGTTCCTTCTCACAACCTGCCCTGGAGCAGGGGAGGCAACTCAGGCGTTAGTTTCCTGAATTATTTTTTCACTGACACTTGGTAGGATCATGCCAGGGCTGGTGCTTGGGAGCTTACTATGTGAAAGGCAGGTGGGATAAATATGAAACACCAATTTCACACTTCTTATGTTGTTAGTATGGCAACTTTATAGATGATCTGAGAATCTATGTGAAAGGAGGAACTGGTGGAATGGGGCATCCTCGCTTGGGTGGAGAAGGAGGGAGAGGCGGTGATGTCTGGCTTGTAGCCAAAGAAAAAATTACCTTAAAGAGAATTAAAGACAGATTTCCCCAGAAACGCTTTGTAGCTGGAGCAGGAGCCAACAGTAGGTAAGGACGTATTATGTCCTGATTTATATTGTTGAACATTTGTAACCTGAAAGAAAAATACCCCTTAAGACTTTTTAATGTCTAACTTTTTGTAGTGTTCCTGCACTGAAAGGTGAAAAGGGAACAGATTGTGAAGTTGATGTGCCTCTGGGAATTTCAGTTACTTCCTGTGATGGGAAACAGTTTGGTAAGAACCTTTATTTTTCCTTTATTTTGAGATAGCAGAAAATAAGGCAGTTAGTGCACCCAGCAAACTTGATGTGTCACTCTTCAGTCCAAAGGCTCTTGTGAGATGGTTTATCTTTAAGACAAAATAGAAGGATTTATTTGTTTATTGAGACAAATGTGGGGAGACAGAATCACATGTGGGAGACTTCTGATGTTGGAGGCTCCTTCCAAAAGCATAGTTATAATTAATTTTGTATCACCAAATAATAGTGCTAGGAACATGTTGTTGCAACAAGATTTAAAGGCTGGAAGCCAGGTTGGTTTTACAGTGAGCCATTGAATTACTGCGTGACCTTGGAAAGGTTACTTGTCCACTTTGTAACTCAGTTATTTGAACTATAAAACTGGCTGAGTTTCAACATCTCAGGGATTACCTAAAATAATTATTTTTTTTAAACTATTGAAAGTAACTACTGTATCTAGAACAGTGAAAAGAATTTCACAGATTATCAGTGCAAGGCTCCTGAAATGGCCGTTTCTTAAACTATAACCTTGAAGTTAGAGAGCACTCTTCTTTTTGTAGTTTTCAGAGTTTTTATTTATTTATTTTTGGTTAAGTGTTAAGCAGGATTTAAGTATGATGTAGATAATGTGACAGAATTCTCAAGTTTAAAGTATTTTTTGACTAACAAGCGATTATAGCCATGGCTAAAAATCTCAAAACTACTGATACGTGCAGCTTTTCTTGGTTTAACCCACATCCAACTACATGATACAATGTGGTGATGTTGACCACTTAAAAGTAATACTTTGGGAGATATCGTATATTGAGCTTACATGTGATTAGTGTTGCTTTATATTTGGAATCATGTGCTTGTTAGTATCAACTACCATTTTGACCATACTGTGTATTCATTTTCTAGGGATAACTCCAAAGAGAAACTCTACCTAATGTAGTTATTTGGTGTTAGGAGTTGAAATATCTGACTCTTGACAAAGAGACATGCATCATGCCCATCAGTCCAAGGGGTTTATATAGAAACTAGTGGAAATTCTCCTCTTCTTTCATTGACAGCAGGTTTACCTGGTAATTGAAACTCTTAACTGTTGCACAACAGCTGTATTTTCTAACTAGTGATTTTATTTTTCAGGAGAACTTAATAAAGCAGGAGAGAGAATACTGGTAGCTCGTGGAGGTATTGGTGGCTGTTTGGTTACAAATTTCTTGCCTTTGAAAGGCCAGATACAAACAGTTCATCTTGATTTGAAACTTATAGCAGATGTTGGCTTAGTTGGGTGAGTACTGGAATCTGTTATCTGTGAATTGAACATTTAGGAGTATAATTTAAAGTAATGCACTTCAAATGAGGTGGGAAGGGGACTACATGTGAATTGAATTCTGCCCCTTTTTTAAAAAACTCATGACTGAGCCTCAAACTGCTACTTGATTTTTGCTGCTAAAATGAATTATCAGAATGAATTACTCATGGTTGGATGAATGCAGGGCCATTGGTCTGAATCCAGGTGAGGTGGTTGATGACATTACACGGCTGTTCAGTAGTATATGTGAAATGAATTGGGAATCTCCCCTAGTGGACTGGTAGCTGTATTGCAAAAATTGCCATTACCAACCGAGTACTGGCACAAGTGGATCTCCTTAATATTTATTTTTTGGCGTTGCTATTAAAACTAGATATGGAATCTGCTCTCTTAGAAAAGCATCCTTGCATATTGTTAGGGGAGTATGGAAAACCTTGAACTATGGCCCTTCAATTTCATTTGCATTTAATCTGGTACTTTTCACTGCCATTGATTAAAAAGAAAACAAATTTTAATTGGTTTCTTTAGGAAATCTGAAGAAAAGCATCTAATGCACTAAAACCACACAAACACTGTTTATTAAGAACTCATTAGGGTTTTTTTCCCTATACCTTGTGCACAGTGAGTTACTGTTAGTTTTTATGGGTGCATAATGAGCAAAGTACTTCTAGATGGAAATGTGCAGATATGTTTACATTGGATGTTTGAAAACTTGAAAGTAAGGTTGATATTTTGCTAGCCATCTTCAAGGGTAATGTGATGTTTCAAAACAGGGTCGCTTGGCTCCAGTCCTACAAACACTATGCATGTGAGTAATTTTACACATTCAAGGAGTCATACTGAGCTCAGTAAGATTCCTTATGTGTATAATTCTTTGCAGAGTTTTATATGTGAAAAATGTAAATATTAGATGGTTTGGACTGCCGCATGAATACCTATCGTTACTAATGCCACAAACTTTTTAAAATATTGTTCTCCTTACTTTTGTAAAGATATAAGAAGCTGGTCTTTGTTTTAATATTTGGGACATAAAAATTCCCTGACAAATTATGTATTGTGAATAACAGGAAGAAGAATGTATGTTAGTAGTCTGCATCTGTGCCACTTAGTATTCAGAGGCCATGTCTCTTTATACCAGGGGTCTCAAACACGCAGGCAACATGTGGCCTGCGGAGTTATTTCCTGCTGCAGCCAAGCTCTCCCCCCTCCCCGCCGCCCCCTCTCCTCACCGCGTCCCCTCTCCTCTGCCAACCTCCAGGCACTTCCCGCTGCCAAACAGCTGTTTAGTGGCACTTAGGCTTTCCAGGAGGGAGAGGGGAGGAGGTGGAGAAGGGGCGGGGATTTGGGGAAGGGGTTGGAATAGGGGCAGGGAGGGGGGCGGAGTTGGGGTTGGGACTTTGGGGAAAGTATTGGAATGGGGGTGGGGAAGGGGTGGGAAGAAGCAGGGCAGGGGCAGGGCCTCATGAATGGGGTGGAGTGGGGTAGGGGCAGGGGGGCTTTTGTATCCTTACATGTAAAGGTGTCAGTGATGTGGCCCTCAGGCCAATGTACTTATGTGGCGCTCGTGGTGATTTGAGTTTCAGATCCCTGCTTTATACTACAAAATATCATATGGCACAGTAACTTATAAATGTATTTATTTCGGATGTGTGGCATTCAAGCACAAAAACTTAGGGAACAACTCATGATTCATGGTAGGTTTTTTATTAAGATCTGAAGAGATCTTTTTTTTTTTTTTTTTTTTTTTTTTAATGTGAATTCTATTAAATGGATTTGCAGGTGTCTGTGTATACAAATGAAAACGCACTAGTTAGTTTCACTTGAGTTTCTGATCTGAGGTCAATTTCAGTTTTAGGCTGTCATGTATTAACACAGTGCTACAACGTACTGTAGTGAAATGCATTTGTTTAAACTAGGACCATTGTTTAAAATTCTTATGCCAGAGCTCTTGGTCTTAGGTTTTGTAAAAGCTGGGGGGGGGCTTACAAATCCTAAATTTTGGTTCATATTTGAGCTGACAGGTTTTCATTAAAAGCATAGAAAGAATCATTATTAATGAAGATTGTTTCCCTAGCCAAAATTGTGAGTCAAACTCTGATATCCTGTTAGTGCCTGTACTTTGATCTTTTCTTTGAGTATGTTGCTTTTACTTCAGCATATACACAATAAAGTGCTTTGCTGTTAGATCAGACCAAGAAATCGTATTGTCTTGAGAGAGGATCATCAGGTCTGTGTACAGACTGTGAGGTACAAGAGAGGTTGCAATTGAGCTTCAAAGAGAATACGTCGAGCCTTGATAGAAATAAAATACTTCCTTGAAGAAATGGAAGGAGTAACATTCTGAATTGTCTATATGACTTCTTCCATCATCAGAGAGCATTAAATTACCTCCATTAACTTTCCTATTATAAAAAAGTCATTGTTTCTTCCATTGTAAGGAGTGAAGCCTTTAAAATATCCATTTTTTTAATTAGTTGGTGTCTGTCTTGCTGTTTAACAGAGTTTGATTTAATTAATTTATGCTTAAATTCACAGCATGGTGAATTCCTCAGCCAATAATGCATTACTGGGTGATAAAGAAAAATGCCTCTCTCTGGGCTAGCAGACTGCAAGAACATAGTCCTATTTTTAATCGCAGTTCCATACTACCCCCCGTAGATTTCTAACCTTCACACATTTTTGATCAGGTGACTTTTAATATCTGTTTAGGAACTTGTTTATCATAGATTTAGTATTGTAGTGAAATATAGTGCAGTGTGATGGTCTGCAAATTTGACTTAAACCAAGGTCCCTTATGACATCCTCCTTCTATTGAGTGACTGGGAACTGTGTTCTGTTCCTGTGGCCATGCTTGAGGTTTGATTTTGAGTAAGGCATCTACCTGTGTTTTGTAACTCCATTTAATCATGGGTAAAATGGGATTAAAGGCACTAGACATTCAAAATGGTTATTTTGAAAAGGGTTATTTCTAACTCTTTTAAGTGTGGGTCTGTTCTGTAAAGTATGTAAGGGAAAAATGGCACTGCCTAACTCGGAAGACCAGTTTGCTGTCCGTGTTCAGTTGTTGCTGCTTTCTTATGTGAAAAAGGTTTGGGGAACATGGGAGGCATTGCTATAGTCAGCGCCTTGCATAATCAACTGAGATCTCGGAGCATGAACTAGGGTGGTTTTTTGTTTGTTTGTTTGTTCTGGTTCACTCATCAATAATAATACCTATCCCTTATACAGTGCCTTTCATCAGTAGATCTAAAAGCACTTCACAGCCTTTAATGGATGTATCCTCACAATACCCCTGGGACATAGGGAAGTAATATTATCCGTCTTTTTCAGGGGGGAGGTAAGGTGCACAGAATCTGTGACTTGCCCAAGATCACACTGGAAGTGTGTAAAATTAACAGAATTGTTAACTTAGTTCCAATTTCATGACCACCTGTAGAACTGTATTATCTTCAGTCATGTACTTAGTTATATCTGTGCAACCCTGCAAAAGGCAGTAGTAGCAGAAATGCAAATGAAGGTGGCACTTGACTTGTAGAATCTTCTATTATTAGAATGATACATATACCAGAAAGAACACCACTTAAATTTCAGCTACCAGGCTGAGTTTGCAAGGCTATCAACTAGAAAAAAATATCTTTTTACTTTTCAAATGAGCAGTCGGGTATAAAAATCAGACACATAGAACCTCATAATGCCTTTTTAACTAAGCCCCTTTGGCGAGTAGAATGTCACTTAAAGCTGTTACACATGAAATTCGTCACATTTTCAGCTATTTCATGCTCAGACCTCAGGAGCACGGTTGAGTTGACAGGGAAGGATAACCGCTTGGTTAAAGTAATATAATGACATTGTCCAGTAAACTAAGTTTCACTGTAAATGAGTTCATCCCTGAAACCTTCAGAAAGTCTTTTTTAATTTGTCTGCATTCTTCTAAACCGTTGTAATGGTTTTCAAAATGGCGAAAAAAGTTTGTATAAAACATTTATTGTCTGAATTACAGAAACCTGAAGGTCCTAGCCAAGACTACACTTACAAAATTTGCAGATGACAATGCGGGGGGTGGGTTGCAAGCACGTTAGAGGACAGGATTAGAATTCAAAATGACCTTGATACACTGGAGAACTGGTCTGAAATCAACAAGATGAAACAACTTGAAAGAGACAAGTACGAAGTAGGTTTCAGAGTAGCAGCCGTGATAGTCTGTATCCACAAAAAGAACAGGAGTACTTGTGGCACCTTAGAGACTAACACATTTATTTGAGCATAAGCTTTCGTGGGCTACAGCCCACTTCTTTGGATGCATAGAATGGAAGAAGTGGGCTGTAGCCCACGAAAGCTTATGCTCAAATAAATGTGTTAGTCTCTAAGGTGCCACAAGTACTTCTAAGTACAAAGTACTATGCTTAGGAAGGAAAAACTAAATGTACAGATTCAAAACTGAGAATAACTATCTAGGCAGTGTTTTAGTGAATCTCAAATTGAATGAGTCAACAGTGTGATGCTGTTGCAAAAAAAGGCAATGGGATATATTAGCATACATAAGACATGGAGGGTAACTGTTCTTGTATACTCTGCACTGGCAAGGCCTCAGCTGGAATAGTGTCCTGTTTTGGACACCACGCCTTAAGAAAGATGTGGACAAATTGGAGAGAATCCAAAGGAGAGCAACAAAAATGCCAAGAGGTTTAGAATACATGAGGAAAGGTTTAAAGAACTGGGCCTGTTTAGTCTAGAGAAGAGAAGGCTGAAGGAGGCCTGGCAACAGTCTTGGAATATGTAAAAGGGTGTTATAAGGAGGGTGGTGATAAAATCTTCTCCAAGTCCACCAAGGATAGGACAAGAAATCATTGACTTAATTTTCACCAAGGGAGATTTAGATTGGATTTCAGGATAAGCTTTCTAAGGATAGTTAAGCACTGGAACAGGTAGCCTAGGGAATCCCCATGACTGGAGGTTTTTAAGAACAGGTTGGACAAACACCTGTCAGGGATGGTCTAGGTATACTTAACGCTGCCTCAGCGAAGGGGAATGGACTAGATCACATCAAGAGGTCACTTGCAGCACTACATCTCTGAGGCCTAAGATCAGGGCCCCATTGCACTAGGCGCGGTGCAAGTACATACTAAGGCCTGGTCTACCCTACGGGGTTAGGTCGAATTTACATGCGTAAGGTCGATTTAAAAATGAATGTGTCCACACAACCAACCCCGTTCCGTCAACCTAAAGAAATCTTAAAATCGATTTCTGTACTCTTCTCCAGCGAGGGGAGTAGCGCTAAAATTGACTTTGCTGGGTCGAATTTGGCGTAGTGCAGATGCAAATCGACGGTATTGGCCTCCGGGAGTTATCCCAGAGTGCTCCATTGTGACTGCTCTGGACAACACTTTGAACTCCGATGCACTAGCCAAGTACACCAGAAAAGCCCCGGGAACTTCTGAATTTCATTTCCTGTTTGTTCAGCGTGGCGAACTCAGCAGCACAGGTGACCATGCAGTCCCCACAGAATCGTAGAGTGTAGAATGTTTCTACGCTCCCCCTATCATCTCCGTCCCTGAGGTTATCGCAGATTAGAAGGCGGGAAAAAATGCACTCGCGGACATGAAGCATCTGTTGGAGCTGCAGAAAAGCCAACAAGACACAGACCCCTACTGCATCCACTGTATAACCGCCTCCTCCTCCCCATGTTCCATAACCTCCTCGCCCAGATGCCCAAGAACGTGGAGGGAGGGAGGAGAGGCTCCAGGCAGCCAGCCACTCCATTGCAGAGGATGGCCCAAGCAACAGAAGGCTGTCATTCAAACAGTTTGATTTTTTTAGTGTGGCTACAATAAGCATTGTGGCCTTGTCCTTCCCTCCTCCCCCACCCCACCCGGGCTACCTTGTCCATTATCTAATTTTTTTTAAAAAAATTAATAAAGAGAGAATGCATGGTTTCAAAACAATAGTTACTTTATTTCGAAGGCGGGAGGGTGGTTGGCTTACAGGGAATTAAAATCAACAAAGGGGGCGGGTTTGCATCAAGGAGAAACCCACACAACTGTCACACTGAAGCCTGGCCAGTCATGAAACTGGTTTTCAAAGCCCCTCAGATGCGCGGCACACCTTGCTGTACTCTTCTAATCGCCCTGGTGTCTGGCGCAAAACGATAGTCTGCCGTTGCTTTCATGGAGGGAGGGGCGACTGATGACATGTACCCCAAACCACCCGCGACAGTGTTTTTGCCTCATCAGGCATTGGGAGCTTAACCCAGAATTCCAATGTGCAGCGGAGACTGTGGGAACTGTGGGATAGCTACCTACAGTGCACCGCTCCGTAAGTCGATGCTAGCCACGATAGTGAGGACGCACTCCGCCGACTTAATGTGCTTAGTGTGGACATACGCAATCGACTGTATACAATCGATTTCGAAAAATCGACTTCTATAAAATAGACCTAATTTCATAGTGTAGACATACCCTAACAGACAGTTCCTGCCCCAAAGGGTTTAACAGTCTAAATAGTATTAATTTGGGGGGAGGGGGGAGATGCCCACTTTAGATTGTCAGAAACAGAAAAATAATAGAATTATGTATTGCCAGTGTTGTTCTTTTAACTCAGTAGTAACTCATATGCAAGTGTGACATAAATAGTTATTCATTGTGTAAATCTCAACTTTCCTTCTAGATTTCCAAATGCAGGAAAATCCTCTTTGCTAAGCAAGATTTCTCATGCCAAACCTCAGATTGCAGATTATCCTTGTAAGTACAAACTGTATTATTTTTCATTGCTGTAACATTATTTGAGAACACAGGCCTTTCCTATGGCTTGACTGAACAACTTTTAGAAAAGAACTGGAGAGTAGGAGCTGCCTACAGTTGCTGGGCTACAGATGTTATTATCTACCAAATATCATTACTCTCTTCGCCTTTATCTCAGTTCTTTCACACCTCATAAGAGACAGCAAGAAAGACAGGTGACTTCCCTGGAGCACCATTATTGTGGCGCTCTGTTCCTGTTACAAAAGATTCATGTGAAAACAGAAGTAAGTTCTGTGGCACTAAGTCTAAAGCATGATAGAAGTAGTGAAGAGGCCACAACTATAGAGATTTGTTTTTAGTTGTTAGTTTTGTGAGCTCAGTGTCCTGGGGGAACAAAAAGCAAAAACTGAAGCAGTAGCTGCTGTATGATCAACATGGTTAGGGGAGATAAAAGCAATGAGGGAAAAGTTAGTGGTGTTGGCCTAATTTTCAACAGTGGTCTTAATTTTCAAAAGAGGTCTGGTTGATATTTACTAGGATTCATATCTGTTACATTATACCATAGTACTTTCTGATGTAACTTCATAATGTCATTCATATAAATATATTATAATGGAAATGTTCCAAAGGAAGGCATGAGAGTAATTAGGTCCAATAGATAAGGAGAGGCATGAAGGTTTTATAATGTTAAGCACTGTATATTAAAAGTGACTTTCTTTTCTTTCTCGTCCTGCCCATCCAGTCACAACATTAAAACCTGAACTGGGAAAGATCATGTATCCAGATTACAAGCAGGTTGGTATTGAAAAGCAATTTAATTTGTTATACATTTGGGTATAATGGCTAGTTAGATTCATGTCATTACAACCTTTCATCTTCTGCAATGAAGCTTAATCCTGAATCACACTTTCAAATATCTATATTTTCTTTGCTTAAGGATGTTACTGCAATATTTTCTACGCCAATAGTTAATGGCGCAAAAATGGAGAAAGTAAATACGGTTCCCACTTCTGTTTCCCTTAACAGAGGGAACCAAGATTCTGTAGTAACCGACTAATAGTTCATCATCTAAATGTGATTAGCTTTCTTCTCCACCTTTTTTTCATATCTAACAAATGAGTTTCTCTAAGTTATTGAATATAGTGATGATAATAAAATACAGAAGTACCCAGTATTTAGCATGAAACAAAACTGCAACCTTTTTGTCGTCAAAGGAAATCCCAAATGGTCAATGCTGTCTAGAACTAAAAAAATTCTGGCTTGAGAGTTGCCAGCTTTTATCTCCAAACTTGAGTTGACTATGCAGTAATTTGGCATATAATAGGCTCATTTCTGTGATTAAGGGAAGCAGAAAATTGGACACCCATTTTGAATGAAAATCGTTCTGAGTTTAAATGGCATTCCTTAGGAAACAGTAGAAACGTGGGTTTCATTTGTTTTTATTGCCAAGTTAAGCATTTCAGTAACATTTTTGTCTGGTAATGGGTGCATGTAAACATGTGTGATGTGACACAAATTGTGACAGAGTTCACCTAGATTTAAAAAAAACCCTCTGAATTTCAGATTACTCAGGGTGTATTCTTATGAATAATTGTTCTGGAAATATGAAGAGCCACAGCTTCAAAATGCAAGGGAGACTTTTTAATGTGTAGATTTTTATAATGATTTAATCAGCATCTTAGGAAAAATACTCTTTACAAACCAGTGGACTAAGAGCTTCAGAGCCAGTTGTTCATCATCTGAGTAACAAAACACCCTTGTATTTTAGTTTATTGTATATTACAAGAAACTATTACATTACATTGATTTCATGTCACGTGTACTGCAAAGAGCAGGCAAAAAAAATTTACTATGTGTGCCTACTTCATTTTTCCCATCTCTCCACAATATCCTTCTCTGGGCCTTAATTTTGCATTCTGATCTCAAACTTGTCAACTCAAGTTTGGTGTGAAGGTCCTGTTGAAGTAATTGGGATTGCACGAGATTCCCTGCCTCTGGGTTCTAATGCAGGATCAGACACCATGTTCATGTAGGACATTCACACATTTTGCTTTTTCAAGCTTGTATCTTTGATGTGTAAAAATATGAGACACATGCAGTACTGTGCTTGTCATTCCAAGATTAAAGATGCTCATCAAAGATTTCTGATGACTTAACCACAAGAGCAAAGTTCTAAGATGTTAAAAGAGGAAAAGTGCTTTTTTTTTCCTTTCAGAAACAGGAATGAAGCAACTATCTTAGAGGACTCAGCAGTCCTCTAATCTTTTTATTTAAACTGCCATGAAATGACTGAGAATTTAAATATTGTACTTCCTGAATCTACTGTTTCCCTGGCAGCTGATATCAACAGGTCACTATTAAAGGATTGGAAAAATTAAAATACATATTTTAGTAATTGATCACTTCATGCCTGCTCAAAAAATTATCTTGGTTAATTTAATATGAGCAAATATCTAGCACGTCTATTTTCTTGTTGCCTACTTTCAACGTAGCTTATATACAAATAGAATTAACTGGTGGTATAGTATGTTGGTATCCTGTGCACCCCCCAACTCCCACTGACTTCACAACAGGGCTGAGCACCTTGCACGATCAAGCCCTAAATGCCACCGAAGGGGTATATATAAATTTCTTGTTTTTTTTTTTTTTTTTTTAAATAGTAGAGCAAGTACCCTAGTGTTACCTACAAAAACATTTTTATTATATAAAGTGTCCTTTTTTTTTTTTTTATATTTTGTTTTTGTGGTTTTTTTTGTTTGTTTTTTGGTTTTTTTTTTTTTTATTGTTAGAGAAATACCGGAAAAGCAGAGAATTTTGATTTTTCAGCTCCAACTATTGGGTTACAGGAAACAAAACTGAAGCAACCATGAAGCAAAAATTAAACTTTGTCCGGCTATATTTTGGTTGCTATTTGTTTTTAAAGGGTAATCTTATTTCTGATTGGTCCTACTACTACTTGTTTATTCATGGAAATTGTTAGTTTATAAACAGCTAAATACTGGGAATTGGCAATTTTAAACAGGTAACTAACTACAGTTGATTTTTATTCCCTAGTGTATTGGTTAAAATAGTTTATAAAATGGGCATTATCAAGTAAATAAATCTGTCAGGCCCAGATTTTCCAGGTGTACAGACCTTCATTTTACCTGCACAAATTCGGACTAACTATCCTGCTAACTGAAAATCCCGTAGAATATTTGTACATCCCTGTAAGTCTCCCAGTATTGTGAATAGATAAGAGCAAAAGTCTACCCTTTCATGGACATGCACAAGTCCCAGTAGGAATTGTGCACACATCTAAAGGCAAAATGTGTCCCTGAATTAGGAGATTAAATTGGCAACTTTTAATAATTTTGAGAAGAAATCAAAACAAGATAGGCCTTTGCTGCAAATAACAGGATCTGTTTTTAATCCCAAAAAGGAACTGATCTGCCAGGAATCAGTAATTTATTTTCAATGGCACATCCTCTACCAAGTGGATAATTACATATCCCCAAGGATGACTTTTTTTTCTAGTCTGTCAATTATCAGATACCAGCAACAGTTTCTTATTTGCTTGTATAAGTAATTTGTTTTATTTGATAGGGAGGAAATGTAAAAGTAGAGTGATAGTGATATGCTAGCACCACCAAACTCCATCATACTAGAAAATAGATTTTTTTCCTGTACATTCAACTTCCAGGGATTGTTTAGTATAGGTAGTTGAAACTCTATAGCCTTTTAATGTATTTTCATGTCTTTTTAGACGGAGAATCCCAAAGCAGGGTTTGACATATTTAGCAAACACCTACTAGCCAGAGGCCAGTATAAAGGTGAGTGAGGGTGGCATTCACCAGCAAGATATTGGGGCAACATCTTGATAGAAAACCTAGTCATCAGTTGCTGGGAAAAGGCAAGGGTGCAGGGATTCCTGCCAAGTGCTGGCCCTGGGCTCTTGTCAGGTTTTCGTACTTTATATCAGCCTCTGGTTGTAGATGTTGGATAGGTTTGAAGCCCTTAGCACTTTTATTTTTCTAGATTGCTGAGAACTAGTAAATATATACAGCAGAACCCCATTTATCTGATCTAATTGGGACTGGGCCAGATCAGATAATCAAAACTCAGGGAAAAACTGGAGAATGGGAAAGTGCAGTGCTGCAGCCCCATCTAGTGGCCACAGGAGAGATCACCTCCTTTTGGATTGTCCAGCTACCATGGACAGCTGGATAATGGACGGTCAGATAAACAGGGTTCTACTGTAGATGGCTGAGCACCAGTAATGCTGCTTCAGGAGAACAGCAGAAACTTATAGCCCGTTATTTGTCTGCTAAAGTAGACTTCTGATGATAGGCTTTAAATGTTTTGCAGTTGCTTGTAAATATTGCCAATGAGCTGGTTCTTACCACTCAAATGACAACTCTCAGAAATAAGTAGCTATAAAATAAGATCCTCATAAAATAAGCATCCCCAGAATACTTTTCTGTTTGTTCTTATGTGTAAAGTCATTTGAGATGTTGATTTTTAAAAGTACTTTACCAATTTTTTTTTCTGACATCTTCATTTATCTTCCTAGGTCTCAGTAGCCGATCTTCCAGGATTGATTGAAGGTGCACATGCAAACAAAGGAATGGGCCACAAATTCCTCAAGCATGTAGAAAGAACCAAACAGCTTCTCTTTGTAGTAAGTAAATATTATAATTTAAATAACCTGTTAACATTAGTTTTTTTATTCTGCTTAGCTTAGAGTTTACTATCCTGAAAACCTAAATTCCTGAGATTTTTATTGCAGCTGGCTTTGGGAAAATATTTCCTTCATAATTGTCATGTATTATTTTACTCTAGATGCTGTTGTAAACATAATTTTAATATAGTATTTAGACTAGAAATCTAACAAAATGATGGGTATTATGCTGATGAAGGCCATAGAGATCAAAGCCTTTTATAAAGATTGCCTGTTACTCAACAGCATGAAAAGGTTCCTAGCACAGCTCAGACATTAGGTTGCCATTGTGCAACAAGATCCTCTTAAAACAGACCAAAAAGCCATTCTTGGGCCTGGATATCTTGAAAAATGGGTGATGGTCCTCTTCTCCCCCTTCCCCCCCCCAATGCTTTTTGTGTAACTTTATAATTCATTTTTTAGGTTGATATTTCTGGGTTTCGGCTATCTTCAAAAACTCGATTCAGAACAGCTTTTGAAACTATACTGCTTCTAACACAGGTAACTTCCTATCCTTTCAAATATTGACTCTAATACTGTCTATGTGAAGAAAGAATAGCTAAAACATGTGTAAGCTGACTGCTAGATTAGTAGATAAAGCTACTGAGGATCCAGTGTGGTTGGTTAATCCTTTTTGCTAGCAATCTTAAAAGGCTCGGAACTTTCTAGATGTACTTAAGGCAGATGACAAAACTTTAGACATAGCTGTGTCCTCATTAACTTCTGCTATATCTGTAAGGAAATGCTCCTGAAGGCCAAGCTGAGTGAAGAGCCAGAGCTCTTCAGTCCCCAGATTTAGCTGCCTTTTAGGAAATGGAAAACAGATCATCTGCTAAATCTCTGGCTTTTGCTCTGTCCAAACCATGAGGTAACTGAAGCTATGTGTATGCTACAGCAGCACAGCTATGGCACTACAGCTCTGCTGATGTAATGCCATAAGTGTAGATGCTTTCTACATCAACAGGAAGGGTTTTTTCCATTGATGCAGTTAGTCGACCTTTGTAAGAGGTAGTAGCTAGGTCAACCAAAGAATTCTTCTGTTGACCAAACTGCATCTACACCAGGGGTTAGGTCAACCTAACTATGGTGCTAAGGGTGTGAAACTTATTTCACAGCCTGGAACGACCTAGTCGATCTAATTTCTAAGAGTAGACTAGGCCTGAGTCTTAGGAGCTTGATGAGATATCAGTCTTCAACTTTGCAAAGCCCCATTGTCTTTTGGGGGCCATATGCAGTGTCTCATGGCCTATTCTGCATTCTTCATTATCCCCACTGACTAAACTCAACTCCATCTTCAAAATCTATTTTTTTCAATCACTTTCCCCCTCTACTGTTCTGTGACTTCCAATAATATATTTTTTTCCTGCTTATGCCAATGTACAGTCCTATGCTGTATGATTCACAGTTAGGGATGATACCTTTGATGTAATGACAAGATCTCTCATGGCATATAAAACTTAAGAATAATAAATTATACAACAATTCCACATCCTAAAAATGTTGTTGCCCTAAGCTTTGTCTCAGAGATTGTCTTCACAGCATAGTTAGCTTAAGTTATAACTCAAGTGTTATCCCTAACTCCACTTCTTTTCACACACAAATCTAGCTCAAATTAAGTGGTGTGTTAAGCTCAAGCTAGCTGGTTTATTGGGGGTAGGTTGAAGCTTGAGTGATGCTCGAGCTAATAATGCAGTGGGAATGCAACAGCTCAATTACAGCAACTTATCCTATCACTCTGTAACTCCAGTGGACTTGTCTATATGGTGCAATAGTGCACACTAGAGTGGTGTGAATTCTAATATGTACCAACGTGTTGCACACTTACTGGCCTGTGTCGATCCTGCTTGTGCGCACAGGCAGAGGGTCTATGTGGGTTAGTAAGCTTGCAACATATTGGTGTGCATTAGAATTCACACTGCTGTACCATGTAGACAAGCCCAGTTTTGAAGCTAGCTAGGCTAGCTTGAGTGCAGTAACTCAAGAGTACCAACTCAAGCTGTGAAGATAAGCCCTGAGAGATTTCTGACCAGTAACTTCAAAAAATTAGTAGATGCTTCTGTATATGTTAATACAGATGTGAATAAAAAGAACAAATCTGTCATTCCACCTTACAAGAGAATGAATCGCAATGGTGCAGGCTGTGTACCTACAGTAAATGCATTTAAATTAGTTGACATTCTCAGACTGTGTGAATACATCAACATTGAACACATCAGTAGATTTCAGTGCTGTAGTGATTCTTCAGACAGTTAAACAAATGAAAGAGGAAAACATAAAACCAGAAATCTGTTTTGAAGTAAAAAAAAAAATAATTTTGACAAAGGCAAATTAACTTTGTTTTAAGGAGCTAGAATTGTACAAAGAAGAGCTTCGGACAAAGCCCGCACTTCTTGCCGTTAATAAAATGGATTTGCCTAATGCACAAGATAGCTTGAATGAACTTATGAAACAACTACAGAATCCTCAAGGTAAACTAACCTAATGCACAGTAGCTTCTTATTTATAATAAGTAGATTGTAATTTACCTTCGTGAATATTTGTGGAAGTATCTGTTAGCTGATAATAAATATGTTGAACAATAGACTAAGCAGAGAGTCTTAAATTTTAGGTTAAAATGATTTGGAAAGTTTGAGGCCCCCCGTGTCCCTCTCTTTGACTGCTTGCTCTATCTATTTTTAAACTCTAGGTTCCTGCCTGACTTTAGCCAGGAGATCTCAAGTATTACAAAAAGATGGGTATTCACTAAACATTCTGTATGAAAACTTCATTTATAAAGGGTCAGCAGTTGCAAGGTGTGACCATGGTCACTAGAGGGGCCACACTGAGATTGCAGTTTGCCCTGATTGAGCAAAGAATGGGGCAGACAATCTCCAAAACTGGTGGTTATTCTAATTATTTGATTCACCAAGCTGGCAACAAAACTTCTACAGTTCCTTACTGGGTACATAAAAGCCCAAAACACTGCTCCCTTAAAGCAGTCCAGCCCTGGGCCTCCCACCCAGACAGTCTAGTCAAATATGGTGAGGATTACTTAAAATCTTTTTCACCATATCTAAAGTTCTACCAATCCCAAGAGATCAGACACATTACCCACTAAGTCAATGACTGTTTCAGATCTTACCCAAATACATGCTTACTGCCAATTCTTATTAACTAAACTAAGATTTATTCAAAAAAGAAAAGATCATTAGACAGATATGAGTAAAGGTCTTAGGTCAGTTTCATAGTAGAGATGGTAAGCTGCTGAGTTGCAAAAAGTTCTTTCAGAATCAGTTCCATGGGTTATAATCCAATAGATAGTCCATGTACAGAGTCTGTATAAATTCTTCCATGAGAAATAGCAGGGTAATCAAGACTGGCGCAGGAGACCTCCGTCTTGCAACTCAAGCTTTCCTGACCAAACTTAAGCAGATCTGAGATGACAGGATCAGGCCCTAGAGTTCTTTTATGATCTCTGGCAGGCTACTATAGCCTCTTGACACAGATAACACAGTGGGCATTCCTTGGGTGAAGAATAGGTAATATACATGGTTGCTTGGAAGTCCATTCCTATTTCCTATGTATAAACACGGCCATTAACTACCCAGAGGTTCACTAGTAGTTTATTACAAACTTCAAAGAGAAGTATAGACAATATTATTTACACCCAAGTTTCATCTAAATGTTAATATTTCATTTTGATCTCTGAATCAGTAGACCCTAGTAATAGAGAGGAAGAGAAATTTATCTGCAAGCTAATCTGGTTACATTGTTAACATCTAATAAGATATAGGTAAAAACAGATGCATACAATCAGTATCTTCTAATTCCCTAATGATATAAGTTTACGTTTCAAAGCTCTAGTGTATCTAACCTGGCTTTGTTAGCTATTTGTAAGGAATGGCTCTAATTACTACACACACACACACACACACACACACACACACACACACACACACACA